AGGTTTACAGCTCCATGGAAACCTTAACATTGGCATTGTTCACTGTGTAACTATTCATTTATCTGTATGGTTTTCTACCAACTGACAGTAATTTATTTTATTTTAAGGTTTTCGAAATATACTGTAAAATGTAACTCCCTTTTAAGCCCATATGAGCACAACGTATGAGTTCATATAAAACAAAACCAAAAAATAAAAATAACATAATACAGAATCTACTGGTTTATAGTAGATTAGCAAAGCAACCTTTAATTGTTTTGTTAATGGGCAGTGAAAAAGACTACTTCAAAGTAAGAAATATTTAGCACAATATAGCAATTATATATCATTAATATATGGCTCTGATGAAGGTCTGAAGTAAGCTGCATAGTATTTTAACAGTAAAGATATGCTTTCCCGTGTGCAGCTGCAAGATTAATTAAAAAATAAATGGTTATTCAATCCCAAAAAAATGATATTGGGTGAAATCTTCTAGCAGTTAGTAGACATTTTTTAAATTACTGGAAAAACAAACACGTGATCATATAGAGAGCATCTCAGTGTCAAAGATCATGTTTGACATTTTGCGCACCTCTTTTAATGTTAAAGCATGTTTTTTGTGTCTTTATGCATATTATCTCTCCGTTAACAGTGCTTTATGGAGGAATGCATTGGCAAACTTACTATGGGAAAGTTATCATTTCCCAGTTTATAGACTACAAGCAAACTCAGTGCTGTCTAAAAAAGGGGGCTTTTTTTTTTTTGCTCAAGAACTGGAATAAAAGTGAATTACTTACACCATTCACTGCACCTGATGCTTTCTAAAGTGTACCGAAAGGCTCACTGATGAGCTCTAATGTGTACCTGGAGAGACACGCTAATTCATCACATGAAGTCTTAATGGCCCCAAGGGCCAGCTTGAACACAGCTGGTGCCAGAGTTCTCAGGCATTAAGCACCTTATCTCCCCTTCATGCTCAATCCATTGATTCGCTTTCCTTTCAGTTTCAAGGGAATCAAGTATTTTATCAGCACATTAAGTGAAAGACACAAACAGAAAAAGTAAATAACAGTCTTCAGCAGAAAAGGCCTAAAATATCCACAACGTTATGAAAACAACAGATCAAGGAAAAAAAAATGGTTTCTGTGTTTTGAGGCAAAGTTCCCAAAACAGACTGCATAAACATCTCACTTCAGTGCAAAATATGTATCAGTTTTTGTATTGTACTGTCAGCACCTTTAGTTGGTATGAAATAAGCATGACACATATACTGTAAGTACTTGTAAGATGTTATTATTCAAGGATCTATAGAATACTGTACTTTTAAGAGGATGATAAATGACCTTTGTCATGTAAGCTTTATCAAGATGTAGAAAGATGTTTTCGTAGCAACAAAACTGCATGGAGCAGTACATGGAGTGGAACGCGTTTCAGTTCTTTCCTGGAGTGCGTCCTGAGTTTTGTGGGATGTTAACAGTCCTGTGGTAATCCAAGCAATGGCAGTCTATGTACTGTACTAATCCTGTGCCTCTACTGCTAAAAATGACCTGTAAGCAAGTTATGTAATCTAAATAGGCTACTTCATTGTATATTATGGTAATAACGATTAATTGAGAGCATATTCCAATGAGTCCCTGAGGTTGAAGCCAGTTAAGTTTGGGCAGTGTGTTAATCAGTTAGACCTGCAGGAGTGCCCCTGTGCTGCTAGAGTTCTTGGAGCTCACACTGGTTGAGAGCACCTTTATTATGGTTTTTAACTTATCTAATTATCTTTTTTTTTCCACAGAAAATTGTTCCAGCAATTATCTAAGTAGGAAAATGAGTTATGTCCATTCTGAATGCCTTTACCTTTAGAGATTGATTAATCACATTAGAATCTGGAGCTGAGGGTTGTTTCCAAAGGGGACTTTTAATAATCTCATTTTTATTCTGTGCTCTGTTACAGAGCAGAGATAATTCCTGCTCTACTGCTTTATCTTTCTTTTTTCTTTCTCTCCATCTTTTGGCTTCTTTCCATTTCTTTTCTGTACTGTAGATGAAAGGTCCCATTTAAAAAATAGACAACACAAACAGGTTCCCAATAGCCTCCCTCCTCTAAAAGAACAAACACAATCAAACAAAAAAAGTGTGAGCTTTAGAATGACATAATAGGTTCCTAAATTTTTGAACATTTTCTTCCAGTCAATGAAAGAAGTAAATAAGTGATCACTGCAGGCTCTTAGTGAGTCAAGCTGGAAAAATGATGGCAGGTTTCTCTTATCAAAACATATGCCTAGAACACAAAGCTTCCTGGTAAAGATGCTACAGAGTGATTACTGTACATTCTGAAAAGAAAACAGTGGATACATTTTAATTTGAGTGTATATTTCAGTGTGTGCTAGCAGAGTGGTTTAGGATGGACAGGAGGCTCATAGTAATGCAAGGGCTTCACTGGAAGAAACTTCAACTGAAATTGGGTAAAACGTTCATGAACCTACCTGAATGTGTTGCAAAAATAGGTTGTGTTCAGAACAGCACCTATTTTCTTTTCTCATTTTTGGTGCTTTCAATTTGTCTTCACTTTTCCCTCTGTGCAATGCTATATCCCAGAAACATTTTTGTCTACCAAAAGGAAAGGTTTCCGATCTTGCTGGAGCCGAGAATATAAGTATTTTTGTGTGATAAATGTAGCAGGGCAGTGCTGATAAACAAGCAGATTAATCTCCCTGACAGATGAGGGGTCTGACCAACTTTATGGTTCCAAATTCTGACAAGATGGGACTCAAAGCAGCACCAGAGAATCTGTTAAAACTTTAGCTTCCTCAGCAGCTCCGATACCAATTCTCTGTGAGGGCACATGATGTACTAGCCTCCTGTGAAGCAGTCATCTCTCACAGACATACACTGGGCAGCCCCAGGAGGGCTCAGACTGCACAGAGGTCAGAGAGGGGTCAGGCTGTAGAAAGAAGAATAGCTGCAGTTGTCATAAACCTTCAAAGGGAAATTGAGATGTTAGACTGAAGCATAGCCATTGGACATTTTTGAAGTTTAAATTTAGTGCAAATGTCTGCACCATGTAAAGGAAAGCTGGAAGATATTCATATGATATCTGCCTCCTGCAGCTCTGCATCTTCTCATTTATTGTATCTTACTGGTCAATTATGATCCCTCAAGAAATCAAATAAACAGATAAACATACTAACAAGTTTAACTGATCTCGTCACATTAGATGAGACTCTTGTGGTGAGGTTTCTCCCCAGGACTCCCGATAGTGTTTGAGTCTTGCACACCAGAAGACTGGCCTTGTTTGTGTAATGAACTTGCCTGTACTCGTATGGGCTTGTGTCTGCGAGATGGAAAATTGAATCCCACGTCCAGCTACCCTGCTACACATGTCGCTTTGAGCATTGTTTTCAATTTTCAATTAACCTCATCTCTGACTTGCTGCCTGTGCGGATATCCGAGAACTGGCTTCCTCTCTTTGGGTTTGATTTTTCTGTCGGCAGTCACCTCACTCCATCTTCAACTTCAGCCGCGGCCTCCACAGCAGCCCTCCGCCCGCCTGCCTCTGCAGCGCTCCGATATTCCTAGCCCTCCGCCCCTCAGGCGGGTAAGCGCGCTCACCTTGCTCGCCAGCCACGCTCGCCTGTCTCATTTAATCCATCACGATAACAAATTACCTTCTGAGTTTTCTCATTCCCTTCTATCACCAGGATGCTGCTATGTGCCTGCATGCGTCTGCGTTCCTGGAATAGGTATCATTTACTCTGTAAGAGAACATCACCGCTCTTTGCCTCTGAGGCATAGGGGGAGTCCCATTAACCACCAGAACGGACAGGCACAGCTAAGGAACACTCAGTACACAGATGCTTTATTTCTCAAGAAAAAAAAAGATAAAGATAACATATGGCAACATTTGCAGTAATGTTGCATTTGCTTTGAAGTTATGTGCCGGTAAGTGACCTTTTATCATAGGTATAACCATTATGCTGTTATTATCGCGGTTATGATTATTAATGATATGATTTCAAATGTGTATTATTTTCCCCTGCTTGACAGATCAAGTGTCATGTGTCTTTTCAAATGATGGCTCTGCTTATACTCATCATTCTAAACAGCTGAATACAGCTCTGACAGTGATATAGCCCCTGCTGTGACTGAAATAGAACTGAGTGGAGCTAAGTTGACAAAACATTTTTCTACTTTGGCTGTAAATAAGTATGGCTGACAAAGCTATGCTACTTAACCCAGTTGCTTTCTGTGCCATTAAACATTGTGATTGAAGGCTTTCAGTACATCTGCAGATGAGTGGAAAAATCCACTCAAATTAAGAGTAAAACCCTGATGTGTAAAACTGTTGAGAGGGCCAGAACTGCCAAAATATCTGTTGGCTGGACTTAGTTTCCCTTCAGTTTCACTGCAGTTATGTGACAAAGAGAATTCAATGCTGGCTCAATCACCATGTGAGTCATTAATAAGCTTGTGTTTGAACCCAGAAAAAAAACAACAACAAAAAACTTCACATCCTGTTAGAAGCATTGAAAAAGGGATTAATGGGAATCAAACATCATTTCATTAAACCACACAGGATTAAAAGCAAACCCCCGAGCAACCCTAATCTCTGACAAACCTTGGTATTTTACCATTCTTTATATGAGATTTAGCTTATGTATTGCACACTTATGATGAATTAAGTTATTATTAAGTATTATTTTGTTACTTCCATTGTATAGACCTTTGACAAACTAAAAAGATTGGCTGATAAGAAGGTGCATTAATCTAAAAAGCTACCTGACTGGTGAGAGATCTCAGTGACTGTATGCCTTTACTTTTTAATTCCTGGGACTGCCTGGTGGCTCCAAGGATTTATTTCCTACTCCAGTCTCTCTGTAAGGAACCATGATATACCTGTGACCAGTAAAGTTGTCATCACTCATAGGCACATGCCAGGCAAAGGAAAGAGGTGAGAGAGAGGTCAGGTTATTACCATATACTGTACACTTGATTAAAGTAAAACAAACAAAGTAGGCATCCCTACTCACAGTGCTGGCAGTGAGCTCTGGAGGGTTATCGTTGACATCTGTCACCGAGATAATGGCAGTGGCAGTGTTGGACAGCCCAAAGTTAAGATTGCCTTCCATGTCAGTGGCTTGGATAATGACGGTGTACTGGGACACTTTCTGCAAAACAAAAGAAACGTTCATAGATTTTAAAGGACTTAACTCTTACCATCAAGAGTGAATCAATAAACACAATAGATACAATTACATGCTTGCACAGTCAGATCACCACTCAACATTAGCGTGCAAAAAGCACAAGAAAGGAAACCCAGGTATTTTTTTGGATTAAGGGTGGGTTTTTCATTTTTTGGTTAACAGTAGGTATTTAATGAAACTGTTGATTTAAAATTGTGAATGGAAGCTCAGATACTTTGAACCTGTAAAAATGTGTACTTTACATTGACGTAATTGGTAAACTATGTAATTTGCACAATACTGAATAATAAAATATACCCTGAGAATAGTTATAGATAAAATCTAACTAAACACCAATTGGCAGATTGTTATAAATATAGATACCTAAAATGGAAGAATGACAGTTTTTGTATTCAGTGCAGCACCCAGCACCTCTATGCTGGTAATGGTTTTAAAATACATCACCGTGCGTACGTGAAGTTAGGGGCTATAAAGCAAGAGTGTACGTTATGAGAGAGAGGCCCATTTATTAAAGCCTAACTGTCCCCACAGTGAGCTTGTAGTGCGAGAGGATCATCAGTCATTTTAATGGGAGCAATGGCACTTTGAAAAGAAACACTCTATTGGAGATATTATTCAGGGTGAATGAACATTACTTAGTCTTTTAACACGAAAAATGCCTAGGAGTTATCCAAACCACCTTTTTGAAGTGCACAGCTGCTACTTCCTGGGTTTCACTGTACGGTGGATACGATTTGGAATAAGAGCTTTAATTTTCAATAAATACATCTTTATGATTATTCTGGATCAGCACAGCCCTGGTAAATTGTACTGACTGGGGTGTTATCTTAAACTGTTTCAGTTTACCTGTCACACAAATAAGGATGAACATAATATTAAATTCAGTTAAGAAAAACTCATCATTACTTCCAGTTATGTGTTTTTTTCTTCTACATTTAGCTGCAAGAACCCATTTATGATTGAAAAAAAATACAATAACTTGTATCTCAAAAAAAGGTAAAATTACACTATTAAATTGTTAGCATTTCTAAGACACTTCCTTCTGTTTTTCCTAAGAAAAGCTTGAGATTGAACATTTTCTGGTACAGACTTTGAGTGTAATACAAACTGGAGATGTACAAGCGTACTCAGTAAAAGGTTAGTTGAACTATTGCATATTTAGTTTAAATTGTGCAAAATGAATATACCTGTCAATGTACTGTTAGAAACAAAACAATTTCTGAACCCCACTTCAGCAAAGTAAGAACTTGAAACAAAAGAGGCAAAGTGGAAACAAGGTATTGCATGTGGCAGGAGTAGGTCTTTATGTTTTTGACAGGCAATGGTTAATATTTCGAAAAGACAAGCACTTCATCCCAGGCTAGAGAGAAATGCTTTTGAACTGCTAAGCATTCACTCCCTTTCCTGAAATATCTATCATATAAAATAAATACCACCTCTTTGAGCCTTTGTATAGTCAAAGCTGCGCAACACAGATCACTCAGCAATACTTTCTGAAGCATTTAAATCACACTGACACTTAGGCAGGTAGCAGCCATTAATAACCTGTCTGTAGGTAATATGTAAGCCTTTCTTGCTCTATGTATTTTGAACCTTCAGTTGCATAGCCTAAAGTTATGATTCATTTAATCACTTCTGCATTTTCAGATATGAAATGTTTCCATCAAGGAGAAATTGGGGTTAGTGAGGAAATCAAATTGTCCCAGTTGTCATTTCAAACCTTGTGCAGAGTTCTGAGGTAAAACCCAATGATTTTTATGAATGTAGTTATACAATACTGTATATGATAAGATTGAGCCAGGTCACCCATGGAGCACGAGAAGACTTTAAAGTTCAAGCAAAGCTCACAAGATCAATGTCATACTCAATAAGTTGCATACCATACATCAGCACCTCATCAGATTACATCAATTGAATGCATTTTTTGACAAAAAATTGCTTTGGAAATTGAATTGAATTGAAAGTTTATTATAGAGAAATAATCTAACACAGTGTGATTTTCAGATACGTAATGTATTAATATATTGTTCATTGTATGAACAGAGTTAAGGGTAGAAATACCTTGCAGTTTTTACTCCTATATTAGAATACATGAATAGGATTAAGATTAGACAGAAATGTCTGTTAAAATTCCTTTAGCTGTAATAAAAAATGAGAACTGTTTTTGCTTGAGACATGTTGAAGATCTTATTCCCTTACTTCCTCTGAAGGCCTTAGGCAAACCAAAAACATTTTATGTAGCATTCAAACATACTCTACTTGCTGTTATATGGTATTTATTTTTATTTGGCTATAATGTGATGCTACAGTAATTTTCTGGTCTTACTTTATTAGGAAATTTTCAAAACAAGAACACAGGGATTTAAATTTTGAAATATGTCATAAAGACTGTTTTGGAATAGACTTTAGAAGATTATTGTTGGGTTTAAACTTCATTGACTCTAATTAACATTTTTTTATTGCAGTGGGTTTAATGCATGTAAAAACAGTCTGATGAATGAAGTCCAAGTTGTCTGCCATTTAGCATTATTCATGCTAAATAGAGACCCGGAGTAACAGAAATCCTGCACAAAATCTGTGCTGAAACCAGTGCCAGAGATCTGGAGTTTGACTTCAGGCGCAGATTTTCCAATCAACACATCCATTATCCACTCAATATACATGCACTAACTGTGCTCAAAACAAAAGAACTGGGTATAATGAGTTTTATAGATCTCCTTTATAGATCTCCAGTACTCTTAAATCAGGTCACAGGGAAATAAGTAATATTTTCTGCTAGAACAAAAATACAGTCTTCCAGTTGCCCCAAGACATAAGGTTTAAAACTGTTTTATATAAAGACACTTGGGGGTTCACAAAGCACATGTGGGGTGTTTCATGGTAGGAAAGAATATGATTCTACAGTGCAATTTTCAGTATTGCTTAAAGAAAAATAAATACATTACTAAGCCTGTGAATCAATAAGGTAGACCTGAATTCATACAAGATGAAGAAACTCAACAGCCAAAAGAGTCTTCTGGAAAATCTCGGTTATCTCTAACTGTGATACTAAGAAAATGTATCAAAGGTGAAGATGGTTATGAATAATTTCAGTTATCAATGTTAAAATGACTGTAGAGCAGAAAGGTGTAATTATACATTAATGCTGCAAAAAAGGGGATTGTAGAAATGTATGAAAATACCAGTAATGGTTACAACCTGTAATAAGTCAGTTACTTTTAAAAAGATTAAGTTGTTCTGATGTCAATAAGAACAAAGTACAATAATTTAGTGTTACAGGACAACTGTGAATAGACAAAGCACATATTAAAAAAATGGCCCTTTCTTCACAATATTATAGTTTCTGACATGAGCAAAGATTTGTCTATCTTACTGTGAATTTTCATTTGGTCCAAAAATCCTCTGCTATAGTTTAATTAATAACAAACTGGCACAATATTGCCAGAGGTACAGAGAGGTCAGTTTCTTTTGAAAGGGTTTCAGTTAGCATTCCAGCTTATCAGACACCAACTGACTGCAGCGATCATATTGTCACTTGTAATCTGAATCAAAATCACATTTACTTGAATTAGGCCAAAGCTTTACAAAAGGTAGTTTCAGTAAAGCACGGGAGAAGTAACATCAATCGAGAGCTAATTTAAAGCAATATATCAAGGACTGAAAAAGAAAATAAAGGTTTTATATTGTACACCTGGTTTAAATGATTATTACCTATTTGTTACAGAGCCTTTCAGGCAATGTCCTTCGTCAACTGGTTAGTAAAACTTTTACCATGATGCTTTAAACCTGTAGCTGTTTAAAGTGTATGTACTGTACTTAGTAATTCGTCATCCCAAGGGAAATTCACATTAATGATGAAGTATCCATAAGTCAGTAGATTTCATATATATTTTAAAGCCTTTTCGAGAAGATGAGCAATCTCAGTACTGTTATACATTGTAGATACTGTATTTATCATAAGAATGTTTTGTTTTGTTTCCCTTTATTACATTTTTATGGATTGAACTTCAGTTATCACAAATTGGAATCTTCCATACAAATATCCTGCTTTATATCTAAAGTAGCTAAAAAGCTGAAACTGAATCCATCAAACAAGGACAATGACAACAATAAAAAGACCTCCTTATATCACTAATTCAGGTTGGAACTACCGTAGCAAGACCATTTAGGTTTTCTTTCCTCACCATGTCAATGTTTGGAGTCGTGGTTTGTAAAACACTGTTCTGCGAGTCTGTGTGAGTCTGTATTCCTGGAGGTGTGTATCCTAATATTAGCTTTTGTAAATAAGGGAGTAAGTTCTATTTAGATCAGTGATTGCACCTCTTCATCGCCTTGGCGAATTATGCATTGAAATATGTTGAATACTATTTGAAACTCACACATAATCAGAGGTGAACTACCAAGAGGATTTTTTAAAGGTATTTAAATTGAGGCTCAGGACTAATTATCCCATAACATGTGACTGAGTATACATATGTCCAACCTTTATCCTTCCCCTTCCATCCACTTGTTTTGTTCTGTGGATGCTTGAAATTTGAGGACAAAATAATTTTGGTTGATATGAGGATGATATTGTCTCTACAAAAAATCAGTCATTTTAATGACAAAGCACAGTGAAGGTATCTCCAAAAGCTACAAAAGAAGTGTAGCTTCTATTGTACAATAGTAGATATAATAAAAGTGTTTTACTTTCTCATTGAATCCACCAGAACATTTCAAAAAGTTTTTGTTACTACCATACAGCACTGCTCCCCTTATGCTGACAGAAACCCGAATAAAACTGTACGCTGTTATTTAAGCCTCGCTTCACCTGCATTTTACTTTTTTTAAACTTTAAAGCTCAGCAAAGAAATCTGTCACATGATTGTGCTCTCAGGCTGTAAAATGCATTTGCTGTGTCTGACAGCAGTGGCAGCCTTGCATGGTATAGATTCTACACATTTTCTAGAAGAAAAGCTGAGAGA